ATTCAAGGATAGAATATTGAGGAAAGCACTGTTTTTGATTTAAGGATAAGCAGTAATTTTCCAAGGAGAGTGGCTGGATCTAGCTTTATTTACTATTGATATTATTAATCACTGGGAAGAAAGAACTAAATGAAGCTTTAAATATATAAACTCAAGATTTCTAGAAAATGTTGATAAGTATCTTAAGAAAATAGAAATAAGAAGCTGAAGTGTTAGAAAAGTATTCAAATGAAAGAGATAAATATAAATATATGATAAAATACATTCATTAAAAATTATATTTATGACACCAAATTTTCAGAGAGAGAATAGAAACTGAGATGGAGGGTGAGGATAACAATGACCACATTTTATAATGTGCCCTAAGATCTTAAAGAGGAAAGCAGGCTTTGACTTGCACAGAATGATGGATTCTTCTACAAAAGATTCAATGAATACATTTTCTCCTCAGTGTCAACTGAGTGCTTAAGATGTGTCATTTAGGGCACCCCCTAATTTCCAAGTGATGAAGCACTTAAATATAGATAGTCAAAAGGAGAATTGCATAGCAGAAGAACTGCTTTATGATAAGAAATGAAGAGTGCCAATTTATGTCAAACATGGCCAAGAAATGAGTAAATTCAAGCTTGTTTGAGGCAAGAGGATTTTGTCTCTAAATTATGTGAGTAGTTGATATTTTTCTTTCATGTTTCATATAAATAATAGAATTTTTCTTTTTTTTTAAGAAGAGAGGGCATTGTAGAGATCAACTCAGTCTACCAAGACTGGATTGTGGTGAAGGAAAGTACAGCATTTATTGCAAGGCACCAAGAAAGGAGTACGAGGAAGTTTATGTTCAAAAAACTTGAATTCCTCAATGGCTTTCAGGTAAGAAATGTTTAAAGGCAACATGAGGGGTGTGGGTCCTCGGGTGCATAACCAGCTCCTGCACAGTTCTCTGTTTGGTTGATGGTGAGGTAACACAGTGATGTTTCGGGTATCTCAATTATCAACCTTTTGTTACAACCTGTCTGGGATCTAGATACTGCTGGTCAGCATGCAGTTAACTTTTTCCATCTGGTGGAGGTTTTCGTATCTGCAAAATAACTCAAGGAGGTGGCTCTGGATATTATCTATAGCCCTTAAAAAAGAACTAAATGTTCTTGACTTTATTTTAAGGCTAAACTATAAAGAAAGCTGAGTGCTAAAGAATTGATGATTTTGAACTGTGGTGTTGGAGAAGACTCTTGAGAGTCCCTTGGACTGCAAGGAGATCCAACCAGTCCATCCTAAAGGAAATCAGTCCTGAATATTCACTGGAAGGACTGATGCTGAAGCTGAAACTCCAATACTTTGGCCACCTGATGCAAAGAACTGACTCATTTGAAAAGACACTGATACTGAGAAAGATTGAAGGTGGGAGGAGAAGGGGACAACAAAGGATGAGATGGTTGGATGGCATCACCGACTCGATGGACATGAGTTTGAATTAACTCTGAGAGATGGTGATGGATAGGGAGGCATGGCATGCTGTAGTCCATGGGGTTGCAAAGAATCAGATATGACTGAGGACTGAACCAAAACTATTCTTATTTTGTGTTCCTTGATTATTTTCTTTTGTTTCTGCACTTTGTCACTTCTCTGATTAAATTTTCTCTTTGGAACTAAAGGAAGGAATAGGAGATAAAGCTTTTTCACAAACAAGAGGTGGGGTTCATGGAGGATGGGAGGAGTCTTACCTAGAAGGACCAAGGGGCCTTTCTCATTCATTACATATATTTTCATTGATTCAAAGTCTCTCTCCATCCTCCCAATCTTCTTTATAAAGTCTTTAGGATCCAAACAGTCAATTCAACATCCACATGGGTGACCCATTTGTCCCCAGAATTCTCTTAGACACTTTTCCTCTACTTATTACATTTTTACACAAAGAATATTTCATCACTAGAAATCTATCTATTGAGTTCCTAGGAATACATTCCTGGGATGCCTTTTCCCAGTTTACAATCCTCTAAGTAATATTATCTTTTCTCATATATTCATATGCTAACAATTAACACATTTTTATCTCTAACCCAAACATCTTATCAGGGCTTATTCAACTGCAAAATTTGCACCTCAACTGAGATGGCATATAGCACTTCATATTTAAATAGGTCAAAACTGAATTCTTCAAATTCTTCTAAATCTGTTCTTTCCTTTATTTTGCATTTCTCCAAAATGGCACTGTAATTCACTGAGTTACTTAATCCATATATTCAGGAGTTATTCTTGATAACTCTCTTTAACCATCCTTCTCCCATCCTTCACAAATCCTTCACTATTTCCCAGAGTTTGCTCAAATTTGTGTCCATTCAGTCAGTGATGCTATCTAACCATTTCATTCTCTTCCTCCCTCTTCTTTTGCCTTCAATCTTTCCCAGCATCGGGGTCTTTGCTGACAATACTACCTTCAAAGTACATCTGATGCATCACTTATTCATCACTTAATCTATCACCACCCAATTCCAAAAAAGCATCTTTTCTTCCCTGGACCTTTACTATAGCTTCAGAACTGGGTGCAGTGCTTTCAGCCTGTCATTCATGGTACTCAAAGTGGTACTGATCTTGGTATTGATCTTGGGTGGCCTTGGCTTGCAATAGCTTGGAGCCAGGCATGGGTTCCCAGTCAGAGAGTCACTGAGTCACACCCTCAGGGCAGTTTGAATCACTTTTATGGGTCATTTCTTCCGGTTTTCTTTTGGCCAGTCATTTTGATTTGCCTGGTTTGCAGTCCATATTTTGTGTATCTCAGGATCCTCCCATGTGTTCACACCTATCTGTTAGCCAAGATGGAATCTACCAAAGAGGCATCTGGGTAGAACATCCCTTGACATCATTCCCCTTTGGCCTGCGAGGAGCCTTTTCTGTGCATGTGCGGTTGGGGAGGGCTCCTGACTTCGGAAATGAGAGAGATGTGGTCTAAGCAGGCCCATCCTCCTCCTTCAATTGTCCTGCTGTTCTTGTTTTGGAGTTTCTGTCAATAGAAAATAAATCTCCAATTGCTTTACCCTGGGGGCCCCATCTACCTCCTGCCTCAGTAGTTTTAATTGAGACCCACTCATTCCCCTGTTTAAAACCTTTCCATAGCTTCCCACCTGCTACATTGAAATAGAATTGAAAAATAAAAATCTCTTCTCCCCAGTACCACCATCCTTACTTCCTGGTCTGCTTTGCCCCTGCCTGTCTCCTCCACTTCATTTTGGGCCGCTACAGTCTTATTATGCTTCAGTCACTTGGGTTTTCCTTCCTTAGAAGAAAATGACTTTTTTCATGCCTTGAAGTGTAAATTTTCAGGGCTTCTCTTCCTTCCTCATCTTTCTGAGTGCCTTGTCTTCATCCATATGCTACATTTTGGCTAAAATGTTGCTTCCTAGGGAGGTTTTTCTTTTTTTAAATGCTCTATCCAAAATAAATCATTCTTCACAATTCCATTACTTTTCTCTGCAGAAAAATTACTTATATTTGTTTACTTTTTTTAGTGCTTGTTTTTATTATAAGTTGTGAACACCATGAAGGCATTTATGATATCAATTTATTCTCACATGACACAATTTTTGACAAAATAGTAAATATATGAATGGAAAAACCTAGAGAAAGGATCCTAGAGGTACATTTAAATATTCTTTTTCCTTTTCACAAAGTCTATGAAGAAATTCACATTTTTTTTCTTGTTTCTGTGTCCATTACATATTTTAATTGCATTTTATCTTTTAGATAATGTAGATTTTATATATAGTTTAAGAAATTATACAGAAGCCACCTCACATTGGTCAGAATAGCCATCATTTAAAAAACCTACAAATAACAAATGCTGGAGAGGGTGTGGAGAAAAGGAAAACCTCCTATATTGTTGGTGGGAATGTAAATTAGTGCAGCCACTATGGGAAACAATACAGAAGTTCCTCAGAAAGCTAAAAATATAGCTGCCATATGATCCAGCAATCCGATTCCTGGGCACATATCTGGACAAAACCATAATTCAAAAAGATACAGGCATCCCTATGTTCATAGCAGCACTATTCGCAATAGCCAAGACATGGAAGCGAGCTGAATGTGCATTGACAGATGAATGGATAAAGAAGATAAAGTACACATACAGAATAGTATATTACTCAGCCACAGAAGAAGAATGAAAGGATGCCATTTGCAGCAACATGGACAGACCTAACGATGGTCACACTAAGTGAAATAAGTCAGAAAGAGAAACACCATATATCACTTGCATGTAGAATCTAAAATATGGCACAGATGAACTCATCTACAAAACAGAAGTGACTCACAGACATGGAGCACAGACTGGTTCCCAAGTGGGAGGAGGCTGGGGGCGGGATGAACTGGGAGTCTGGGATTAGCAGAGGCAAGCTGGAATTTAAAGAATGGGCAAACAAGGTCCCATGGTGTTCAGTTCAGTTCAGTCGCTCAGCCGTGTCCAGCTCTTTGCAACCCTATGGACTGCAGCACGCCAGGCCTCCCTGTCCATCACCACCTCCCGGAGTTTACTCGAGTCTGTGTCCATTGAGTCGGCATCACTGAATATGAAAAGGATACATATGTGTGTAACTGAATCACTCTGCAGGGTCTGGAGTGGCCTCTGTGCTTCCTCTTCCATGTACAGTGTGAATGGTTTGAGAGGCGACACTCAACTTCCCCAGTCTAGGTTCTTGTGGCAGCTTCTTCAAGGACCAGCTCTTTCTGTGGACTTCAACCTTTCAATTTCACTCTCTACTTTTTCCTCTACATGCTGATTTTTTTTAACACTAATTATTAACTGTTCAAATCAGAAGGTGGACTTAAAAAATGAAACAAAACAACTCAGTGTCAAACTACACTTCACCATTTAGCCTAACAAATCCAGAAGTATTTAGCTTCATTCATGTATTGACAAGAACACAGCACAGGAGAAACAAACATCAATGGCGCTATTTATTCTCAACATATAGAAAAGCAATGTTCATGAAACATAAATAGGGCATAGTTACCTGTCATGTTGCAGTAAACTTTCAGAGGCCCCAGCGGTCCACTGCCATCAGGATCTATCCAGTAGTAATTTGAGGTCTGCCCCAGGTGTTTGTATGCTTCACAGGAAGGCTCATAGATGGCTGGAAAGAAAGACCCTTCATGAGCTCAGCACCCAGAAAAGGGCCTCCCCAGACCCATGCCCCAGTTACAGACCAAATGCTACCAAACCAGTGATTAGGAGCATATCCTCAAGTTGGAACGAGCCCTCTTTTCTCTACACTTAAACTCATAATTTGTTTAGTCCACAAGCATTCTTTCTGACCTAACAAAGACAGTAAGTTACTGCTATGACTTTATAGTTGGGGAAAAGTCTAAAACAATTTAATAAATTGTTGAATACATGTAACGTTTTCTTAAAACAGGTACTCATGAGCATTGAAAAATATTTAGTTTATACTTATTTATAGATATCATCTCCTTGCTGTAAGGGACTTAAAGACCATGAATACTGATTGCACTGTTGGTCTATCAGCTAAGAGATCAGAGCAAATCTGACTCCCGCCACACACACACACAGACAGAAACACAGACAAACACACTTTTGCATATTTAGCATACATTTCCTACAAAAAGCATGTGATTGCTAACTAAGATGTGACTCTGCTTCATTTTGTTACAAGTACTTTAATTACCTCAAATCTAGTTTTTGTAAAAAAAAAAAAAACAATGACATTTATGTAATTAGGTTGTAGATTTTCATCATGTTTCTTTTTGTTCCCTTGCTCCTAGAACATTTTCTTTTTTCACAGAGAATGCACCTGGTTTCAGAAGTGCTGAACGGACACTGACATACCTCCTTTATAGCTGGAACTTCTAAAACAATGTGAAAACTTTTATATATAGCTCATCTATTTCTGCTTTATTGACCATGGCAAAGCCTTTGACTGTGTGGATCACAATAATCTGTGGAAAATTCTGAAAGACATGGGAATACCAGACCAACTGACCTGCCTCTTGAGAAATCTGTATGCAGGTCAGGAAGCAACAGTTAGAACTGGACATGGAATAACAGACTGGTTCCGAATAGGAAAAGGAGTACGTTAAGGCTGTATATTGTCACCCTGCTTATTTAACTTCTATGCAGAGTACATCACAAGAAATGCTGGGCTGGATGAAGTACAAGCTGGAATCAAGATTGCCAGGAGAAATATTAATAACCTCAGATTTGCAGATTACATGACCTTTAAAATGGCAGAAAGTGAAGAAGACCTAAAGAGCCTTTTGATGAAAGTGAAAGAGGGGAGTGATAAAGTTGGCTTAAAGCTCAACATGCAGAAAACTAAGATCATGACATCTGGCCCCATCACTTCATGGCAAATAGATGGGGAAATGGTGGAAACAGTGGCTGACTTTATTTTGGGGGCTCCAAACTCACTGCAGATGGTGACTGCACCTATGAAATTAAAAGATGCTTAATCCTTGGCAGGAAAATTATGACCAACCTAGACAGCATATTAAAAAGCAGAGACATTACTTTGCCAACAAAGGTTCATCTAGTCAAGGCTATGATTTTTCCCAGTAGTCATATATGGATGTGAGAGTTGGACTATAAAGAAAGCTGAGTGCCGAAGAATTGATGCTTTTGAACTGTCATGTTGGAGAAGACTCTTGAGAGTCCCTTGGACTGCAAGGAGAGCCAACCTGTCCATCCTAAAGGAGATCAGTCCTGACTATTCATTGGAAGGACTGATGTTGAAGCTGAAACTCCAATACTTTGGCCACCTGATGCCAAGAGCTGACTCATTTGAAAAGACCTGATGCTGGGAAAGATTGAGGGCAGGAGAATGGGACAATAGAGGATGAGATTGTTGGGTGGCATCACCGACTCAGTGGAGTTCAGTTTGGGTAAACTCCGGGAGTTGGTGCTGGACAGGGAGACCTGGTGTACTGCAGTCCATGGGATCGCAGAATCGGACACGACTGAGCAACTAAACTGAACTACATTGACTTCATGAGGGATTTGGCAGAATTTAACTAAGAACTACTGAGACAGGAGGTAGATGGCCCCCCACCCCAATACAGGGTAAAGCATTGGAGATCCATCCCCTATGGGCGAAATTCCAAGACAAGAATAGTAGGGCAATTAAGCGAGGATGTTGGGTCCTGCCCAGGCCACATATTTCTCATACCTGAAGTCAGGAGACTTCCCTGACCACACATGTACAGAAAAGCTCCTTAGAGGTCAAAAGGGGAGTAAAGTCAAGGGATGCTCAACCCATATGCCTTTGCCATCTCGGCTAAGAGATGCATGCACGCACATGGAAGGGTTCTGAGATATAGCAAATATGGACTGTGGACCAGGCAAATAAAAATGATTGGCCAAAGGAAACCTGGAAGAAATGTCCCATATAAGTGATTCAAACTTTCAAGGATTCTCCTTCTGAGTCTGCCTGAGTAGCTATCCACCCATACCGTACTCTTTTTCTTTTAATAAGTGCTTTACTTGCTTCACTGTTTTCTGTCTTTGTGGAGATTCTTTTCTGCAAAGCCAAAGGGCCAGGGCCCTTGACACTGGCCACTCTTCTAGTGGCTAGGATCTAGTGCTCTTACCATCACGACCTGGCTTCAATCTCTGGTTCGGAACCCAAGCCCCCCTCTGAGCTATGGCAGGCTGAGGTCACTCGAGATCATTACTATTGGTAAAAATCTATATATTGATAAGTGGAGTCTTTTGGAAAAGTGCCCTTGAATTCAACACTCCCAGCATGTGCCCTTTCCTAAGTTATGAAGCAGGAGGTCTGACTCTGGGACTACCTCTTTCTACTTCCCTTTCCCAGGTTCCCGGTGCCTCCCTTTGGCTCTCCATGTTTCTTCTTCTCAAAGATGCTAGACCTTAAATTCTATTTCATTTCAGCAAACACAGCACACTACAACAGCTCTGAAATGCTTTGATTTACTCAGGGCTTTCTTTTCACTTGCTTTGTTCCTTCTGCAAATAATCACTGAGCCCATATGATGTGCTGAGCAGTAGATTAGGCAAAACAAGTACATCTGTGAACAGCACAGCTCTGGGACCTTTGGAGCAAGGGCTGTTCACTCAGTTCTCAGCCATTGCTCATTCACGAAGTGCAGCTGGAAGAAAATGTGGCTAAAGTGTTAAGCACAGCCACACAGTTTTGTGTGGTAGTGATCAGTGGTAAAGAACACAGCGGCCAATGCAGGAAATGAGGGTTTGATCCCTGGGTCTGGAAGATTCACTGGAGAAGGAAATGGTAACCCACTCCAGTATTCCTGCATGAAAAATTACACGGACAGAGGCGCCTGGTGGGCTATGCCTGAGAGGTTGTAAAGAGTCAGACATGACTGAGTGACTGAACATGCAATTATTAATATGCCACTTTCCACCTCCCAATTATCAAATTTAGATAATAAACTATGGTTGCTCTAATTCTGAATGCCATAACACGTAAAGTAAGGCAATAAAAGACAGTAAAGAAATATTCTTTAAACTTCCAGCAGAAAGATGATATACTTTGAGATAGGTTTTACAAAGAAGGTTCCTTGTAACAAAACACAATAGATTTTAGGGAAGTAATTCAGAAGGTAATGAGAGCAGGTAAGCTATACTTGCCATTTGCGTGCATGCTCAGTCATGTCTGATTCTTTGTGACGCCATGGACTGTAGCCGACTAGGCTCCTCTGTCCATGGAATTTTCCAGCCAAGAATACTGGAGTGGGCTGCTATTTCCTCCTCCAGGGGATCTCCCCACCCAGGGATCAACCTGTATCTCCTGCATTGGCAAATGGATTCTTTCCCACTGAGCCACCTGGGAAACTCAATACTTCCCGAAGGGCTATGGTGAGATGGCCAGAGCTATTATGAGAAAGGATCAAACAAATAAGACAGGATAAAGTAGATGGAACTGGGCACATGTTTTAAGATCAGGAGGTGGACATAGTCAGAAAGAAACAATACCTTAAATTCACAATCTCTGAAAACAACTGCCTTATTAACTTTTGACAATCTTCCTTCAGATTATTATAATTATTACATACAGTTCAAAATTGCCCAGAACATAAGGTTTAAATTCTTAGGTTTTCCAATTAGTCTGTTCAGCCAATCTACCATTAGAAACTGTCAGCTTTGTCTTCCAGCTTCCCCCCTGTCATTTTCCTTATCATCTGATATCTGGTCTATAACAATCATCTTATTAAATGATTGCTCTACCCAAATATCTCTTCACTCCCCACCCAATTATGCTTTTTTGATCCATTGATGGTCTAGTGCTAAAACATTACTTTAAGTTAAATGTGCAATAGCTCTTCAGCATCTCTGACAGTGTGCCCCAGATCGCCACCTAAGCATGCAAAACCTTCCGAAATCCTTACAGATCTCATTAGTTTTCAGCAACTTGCTGACATCAACCTTGCTCTCTGCTCAGACGAATCTGACAAAGGAACTTATTTAACCTATGTTTACCCTTTCTGGGATTGCCTGTGGTTTTCCACAGGCCTTTTTCTCAATCTGTAAAACTTCTCAGTCAGAGTTAACTATGAAGGAACAAGTGTTAAGAAACAGGGCTCCAGTCAAACACATCTAAGTTTAAATCCTGACTCCACCAAGCACTAATTATATAACCTTGGCAAAGACATTTAATCTCATGTAGCCCTGTCTAGGAAATAGGTATCATAGATATACTAATTAATGGTTATATGTGCTCAGTCGTGTCCAACTCTTTGCGACCCTACAGACTGTAGCCTGCCACGCTCCTCTGTCCATGGGATTTTCCAGGAAGTGGGTTGCCATTACTTTCACCAGGGGATCTTCCCGACCCAGGGATTGAACTCACATCTCCTGCATTGACAGGCTGATTCTTTACCACTGAACCATCAGGGAATGGCAATATTCCCCACCAGAGAATCCACCTATATTAATTAATAGGTGGATTATTTATTGTTAATACAAAAGTTATTATTTAGGCACCATTAACCTTTTTCCTTTCCTAAGGAGACCTTCTGTAATCAATACATCCTGCTTTCTGTACAGTCCAGGGCTCATCTCACAAAGTATAGTCAATGTAAGACTTGATTGACTGCTGTTAATTAAAACATGTGAAAATTTTACTTCCTAATAAGATTG